TTTTAGATTTATTGAAAAATGATTCATAATAAGTACTATTTCATCATGGTAAATACTGTATCATCATTTTTTGTTAGAAGATGGTAAATTGTAAATACTGTGTCATCATTTTTTGTTAGAAATGCACTTTCTTTATCTATGTTACAAGAGCTCATAGAACGTTTTAAAACAGCAGCAGAAAATGATCGTGTGAGAGCTGTTATTCTTGCTCATAATGGACCATGTTTTTCTGCTGGCCATGATCTTAAAGAATTGGTATGCTATTTTCTGAAAAAACTACCATTTAGCAAACATTATCTATAAATATGTTTTTTTTTATTATAATTTTTTATTATTATTTTTGTTTAATATAATTATTTAAAATAAATGTTGTTTTTTACTTAAATTAAATTTTAATGTTTCACAAACAAACACAAGCAAATGGAAATTTATTGTTTCATGCAGACGTTTTTATATCCTAGTAAGTACTTATGTGTTATCGAGAGTTTAGAATTAATTTAACTTTTTTAAAATTATGAAACTCCATTTTATTACTCCATATTATATTTTTCTTATAACATGGATTATATTTTTTTTGGTATTTCAAGAATTTTGGATATTTTTTTGAAAATCCATTTTTTTCAGACCATCAAAATATATAAAGATAAAGGATCATCAATTTTTTATAAAAAAAAATACAAAGAACAAGTCGTTCTATTTGTGTTCATAAATTTTTAAAAAAAAATTAAAAACTGAAAATTTCAAAAAGTGTTTAACCAAGAAATAATCCAGAAATTTTATTCAGAGTGGTAGCCCTCTTAATAAATATAGAACAACAAAATGAACATTTGTAAATAATTGGTGATTGGCAAAAGATTTACTTGATAAAGCCTTTTGATTTGTCATCTGCAGTGAAAAAATCAATGTATTGATACACCTAAAACAGTAAACATCAATGGAAGAGAGAGAAACCCATTCCTCAAATGGAAATCAACAGCTGAGGCAGTTCAGTTATTATTAGCATTTTTTAACAAGACCAGCTCTTCCATTAAATTACCTCATCTTTCATGCTTCTACTCCCTTATTCCATTATAACTCATCAAACTTTCTTTACTTGCAGAAAACAACTCCTTTGACATCATTTTTATCACAGAGATGTAGTTCAATAACCAATCAATTTCCTCTATGCCAAATTACAACCTCTATTGTTCAGACCGTCTCAACTAAATCAGAGGATGTGTAACAATATACACAAGCAATAAAATCATCTCAAGCTAACTAGAGGAATCCCTACTACACAAAAATTTTGTTTGTTACTATTCAGAACAATATGGGTCAAACTGAAGCATCTGAATGAAACTCTGCTTCTAGGTTGCATTTACAGACCTCCATCTTTCGGTATTGAAGACTTCTCAGAGATTTTTGAGAAGGCTTCAATACCGGAAGTGCTATTTTCCTTGCCAAAACAACAGTACCAAAAAATACAATGGTATCATCATTGCCGGTGATTTCAATTTCCTAGAGATTACTTAGACTTCTAATTCAGCCTTCTCATCTAGTAAAATCAGTTTTTGTTCTTTATTTGTATCTCTTTTCAACATTGTCATTTCCACCAATTATCACTGTCCACACTTTTAAATCTGCTAGTCGCTTTATGACAAGCTCTTGATCTCATCTTATGTGACTCTCCAAATTGTACTAAGGAAATCATCATTGGTCCTCCACTCAACTTGTCTGATGCAAACTGACTTAAAGCATAAAACTATCGCATTTTAACAATTCATTTGTTAATTCCCTGACCCTAACCCTAACCCTCACCTTACCCTAAACCTAATAGCTCTAAATTAGTAGATAATAGAAAATCAACAAAGAATTCAATAAAGTTGACTGTTCATCTATTTTTAAAAACTTGAATGTAGAACAATGTTACCAACTTTGACACAACAAATACAATGTTATCTTTAACTCAATCCTAATAGGCTGAAAAAACAGTTCCAAAAAAAAACCATGGGTGACAAAAAAACTATTATCTCTAAATCTTTTGTAAAAAATTTGTCTTTTCAAAATGGAAAATCACATCCCTGGTCTAGAAATATAGAGAAACTAGAAAGTTTGTTAAAAATTATTAAAAGTTATTCTTCTCTGAAAACTTTTGAATTTTCTCTGGCTGATGATATGCACAACCCTAAAAGACTAACTTCATACATGAATCATATGCTAATTACCTGTTCCAATGAGTTCATTAGCTCTAACAAAATTACAATAGCAACTCACTATTTAGCCAAGAGCCATTCAATGAAAATCTTCCCTGCTTTGATTGAAGAACTGAGATAATCCTCAACAGCATAGTATTTGTCACTTAGGCCACTCTAATGGAACTCTCGTCACTTGATATATTCAAATCACTAAGTGTAGACAATGTCAGTCGTCTCGTTTTGTGCGCTTGTTCTACTTCAATGTCTACTCCACTAACTCTTATCTTCAAAAGTCACTTGACAATGGTGAAATTCCAAGCTCATGGTCCAAAGTCTTTATTGCCATATAATGCCTTTATTTAATAAGGACTCCAGAATTGACCCATAAAACTTCAGACCAATATCCCTCACCTTGATTTTGTGTAAGATAATATAGAAACTAGTTAAGAAAGCAATCATGCAGCATCTAATACCAAACTATCTTCTATCAAATTGTCAAATTGGAGCTGTATGTCAATGCTAATGGAGCAAAATGTCAAATTGGTAGCTGATGGAGCTAAATGTGAAGAAATGCAAGGTCATACACTTTGGTCAAAAAATCAGTCACTTTAAGTATTCATTGGAGGAATTTGAAGCAACCACCTCTGAGCATGACTTGGGAATGCAAATTACCAAAGATCTTAAATTAGAAACCCAATCCATCACCTGATGTAAAGCAAATCAAATGCTTCTTTACGGAAACAACTTTACTAACCTATGTCCTCACTTTACTTGAGTTTGAAATTCCAGCTTGGAACCCTCGTTGGTAAAAGATGAACAAATTATTGAGTTAATACAGCGCAGAGCCACAGGTACCAGACAAACTGAAAATGTTAGACTACAAGTCAAGATTTTCAACATGACCTAACTATTCTAGTCCATCCTCATAAATGAGGTGACCTTATCCAAAAATATAACATTATTAATTATATTGACATTATCAACTAGCACTTTCTTCTCGTCACAATTCCACCAAGAGCAAATCACAGAGAGAGAATTCATTGTGAAAAATATAGCAACAATTTAGCTTGTTTTAACTTTTTTAACAACTGCATTGTCAATTTATGGAACATATTACCAGATAAAATATTTGGTTCTCTGACTGTCAATAGCCTCAAAGCGGGCATTGATATGCTATGTTACAACAGCTCGCAACTTTTTCTAGTGAAAGGTGAGTTATAAGCTTCACAAAAATTAACTTCTTCGCATTTATGTCTGTTCACACATGAAATTTGTACTTATTCAGTCTCTCGAATTAAAATTAAACAAACACTAAAATTGGTCTAGAAACATGAACTACAATTGGAACTAAAATTGCCACAAAGAAGAAATTGACATATTCAATAACTTCAATAAACAAGTAAAAGTAAAGTTAATTGAATTGTATAATTAACAAATAAAATAATTGTATTCATTGTTTCTTTATAGTAATTAAAGAGCAAAAAATTTATTTCATTAACATATTGTTTGGATAAAACTGAATGCATGAAAAACTAGTAAATAAATAATTCACTAAATCATGGAACTTTAAATAAATCTAACTTGAAGTTTAAATTTTTTCAGTAATCTATGATTTTATTGCAACATTTATGATTGTTGCAAATCATAATAAAATAATAACTGAAACAACAGTTGTTATATTTCACTAACTTTTTCAAGTTATTTTAAATCAGCCTAATTGGTTCAATGAATAAAATAAATTAATAACTTCAGTCATTTTTACAATGTATACACTATAAAACTAACAAAACCGTTTTTTATTGAAACGTGATGGGTGTATAAGTGTATATGCTGATGCATGATAGGTATTTAAATGTATGCGGTGATACAAATATATGCAACACGCATCTTGCTGTTTCAGTAATAGCCATTTAAAATACTATAGTAAATTAGTTTATCAATATTTAATTCACCACACAAACATTTTTAAAACAATTGTTGTTTCTGTTATTCATTTAATTTATATATAATTATATATAAATATATATTAATTTGTAAAATAAATAAAAAAAATTTTTCAGACAAGTGACAATACAAAATCATACCATGCTCAAGTTTTTCAAAGATGTACTGAACTTATGAACCTTATTCAGGTTTTTTTTTAATATATTTATTACTTTTGTTGTTGTTGTTGTTGCCACTGCTGCTGTTGTTGTTGTTTTTGTTTTTGTTATTGTTTTATTGCATAGCATTGCATAGTTTATTATTAGTAATGAAGCAATTGCTTATACTTTAAAATAGTGTACTAAGTACTGTGCTTTAAGTCAAATTCTTTTGTGCTTTAAGTCAAATTCTTCAACAATTTTAAAAATAGCTGATGTATCAAAAGCTATAAAACAAAAAACCATCGTCATCACCAAGTTTTTTAAGTCTATCATTCACTTATATTTGGGCTCTTCTAAGTAACTTTTTTACTGTTGAGTCTCTTGCAAAGTTCACCAGACCTACTTGCTCTTTGTAAGACTAATTTGAGTTCAGTTGTTTAATCTTGTAATCTTAGTGTGGATGGTTACCTTACTTTAATGTAAAGACTCCAATTGCCACATTCTTGGCTTGGCCTTTTACAGTCATAAGAGTTCAACCATTTGTCTAGAACCTAGGTTTGAATCCACAAACTATTTAGCACCACTTCACTCTATCATCTTTCTCTCCATAACTCCATCTTTTCAATGTTATTTCTGATCAAGCCCATTCTCTTATTGACCAAGCCCATTCTCTTATTCCTTCAGCCAATTTTGTTGTTGTTAATGACTTTAATGCTTATCGCACTAAATGGCTTGGTTCAAGTGTCAGTAATTCTGCAGGTGTCAAGACCCACAACTTTTGTCTTTCTTGATCACAAATAGTCAACTTTCCAACTCGCTTTCCAGATAATTAGAATCATTTACCTTCTCTGCTTGACTTATGTCTTCTTTCTGATCCTAGTCAGTGCTCAGTTTTTCCGTATCATAACTTAGGTGTTTCTGATCATAGTTTGATCTCTCTAAAACTATTATCTAATTCTTCTTCATCATTAGAATCCCCTTATCATTGTTCCTTTTACAACTACCTTAAAGCTGACTGGGACTCTTTCATGATTTCTTTTCTCCTTGGTTTTCCTCTAATTGTACTGCTTCAATTTCCGATTGTAATCATTACATCCATATCTATCGCCAAAACAATTCTCCAAAAAACAGACATCTGTTTACTATTGCTAGAAACCATTGTAAAAAGATTATTTATAATTCCAAATCCTGCTATTCTCAGGTCACAAAATCTTGTATTTCATCTCAAAACTTAGGCTCCAGAGACTTCTGCAGAATCTTTAGCAGTGTCTATAATAAGGGCAAATCTGTTATTCCACCTCTCTGGCATGGTTCAGGTTTTGTTACCTCACCTAAAGACAAAACTAAATTGTTTTCTAAGAACTTTTCATCAATCTTAACTCTTGATTCCACTAATCATATACTACCTGGTATAGTCGAAAAACAGGTTGATCCATTGCTTGACATTCGTATCACTCCAGCTTCTGTATCTAAAATGATTTTCTGCTTAGACTCTTCTACAGCTTATGGTCCAGATAGCATACCTGTTATAGTCTTTCTCTGGAGCTGTCATCTATACTTTCAAAACTATTTAACATGTGCTTACCATTATTTTTTTTTTCTAGCCTGCTGGATAAGAAGACTCTTTTTTTTCAAAGTAAAGTTATTTTATGAAAAGAATTTATTTTTAAGTTTTATAAAAAGCTTTTCATGACTAGTTATGACTGCATGTTAAATGTCAAATTTTTTATTAAAATATTAGATAACAAATATAGCATGCTGTTTCTTCTTTGTTTCTTTGTTCATAGTTGGTAATTACTACTTTGCTTTTTAGTGTGAGGTATATGGTTACTTCCATGTTTTCAGTTTTAAAATGTCTAGTTATTTTTTTTGCTCAAATTATGTAGTTATTTTTATTGATTTCCAAAAAAGTATATTTGTATATCTTGTAAATAAACTTTTCAGTTCATTAAAAGAAAATCTATTTTCTGTAGGTTTTGTGTAAACTGTTGTGTTCTTTTTTTATGGAGTTTCAATATAACATTTAACCACTGAAATCACCATCATGTTAAATCTGAGTTATAAACTTGGATCTCTGTCTATTGTCCCAGCTAGCATACAGCATTAGCCCAACATTGTGTGCTTGCAGTGTCTTTTTAATTTCAGAGTTATAGAGTTCAGAGAGTCTTGTAAAAACATTTTGTTTGAATATATATAATAGTATTTTAATATTGAAACTTGGGGAGGGTAAATAAAACTAAATGAGCATTGAGATAAAACAGAAGAAGTTTTTTTATTTGAGTTTAAATTATATATACTTTATATACATATACAGCACTCGAATTAGCGTCCGATCAACAATTAATGATTGGCTGTTTTTAGGCAAATTTCAAAAAATTCAAGGGAAAATAACTTGTTTTTTGAAAAAATTACATTTGATTGGCAAGCTTTAAAAAAATATTTTGAGCGCTGCATATATATTTAATATAAATGTAAATGATAATTACATAGATATTTTTTTATTAAAGGATATACCAACACCTGTTATTGCAGAAGTAAACGGTACAAATTTTTTATATAGTTTTAAAACAATTCTTCATTAAATGTTTTGTTTCTAAATTCTTTTTTTTTTATAGTTTGTTTTAGATAACCTTTTTTTTTTTTGCTTTTCAAAAATTAAGTTTAAAGTAAAAAAAAAAAAATTATTTTCACATAGTATATACTTGTAAGTATTACATTTTTAAATTTATATTTTTGCTTTGTTGCCTTAAGTCAGGATGGAGTGTATTTAATTAAAGAAATGATATCAAAAATGCATATCATCAAATCATAATCAAAAATGCATCAAATCAAATGCATATTAAAAATGAATCAAAAAATTTGTTTTTTTCCTAAATTGATTTAAGTTTTAGGAGCATCAGTTTTGACATAATGATTATATGCTTAAAATAAATGACAGACACTTAAATTCTTTCAACCTACTTGGTCCTATTCTGAAATAGCAAGATATTTAATCACCCTTCATACTTTTCTCCAACTCTCATTTGCTTATTTCATTATGTTGTCGCATAAATTTTGTAAAATTTGATTTATATTTTATCAGTGCCGGTTGGTGGCGTGTGTGAAGTGTGCAAAACACACAGGCAGCAAATTTTAAGATTAACAGTAAATGAAAAATTGCCAAAAAAATACGTCATGCTGATAAAATTTGTTCACTATTAAGGGCAACAATTATTATTTGCACACACTAAGAAATGCTCACAAGCCGGCTCTGAATATTATCATCAATATTGTTTATGTTATATATACATCTTATTATTATTATTATTATTTTTATTGAAAATAGGTATAGCTACAGCTGCTGGATGTCAATTGGTTGCCACGTGTGATATTGCTGTTGCTACTCACACTTCTTCATTTGCAGTTCCGGGGTATTCAAGTTTCTTTTTATATTACTATTTAAAATTATTATTTTTTAAATAGTATTTTTTTTTTTTCTCTTTTTCTTTTGCAGTTCTATATAATTTGATTGCAATAAATTCTAATATTGTTGCATCAATGTCTGAAATTGTTGCATTAGAGTATAAAATTGTTGCATTAGAGTCTAAAATTGTTGCATCAAAGTCTAAAATTGTTGCATTAAAGTAATAATGACTGAAACAAGCATAAGATGATTCATGGATTACGTTGATTTATTGGTTTTTAAAATTTGCTCCTAATTTAAATAGTCTGTGTTCACCATAAAAATTATAGTTAGTTATGTATAACTACTAAATTTTATTTATTATTACTATATTCAACTATTTTTTAATATGGTAAAAACTTTATATATTCATATACATTAGTAGATTTACTAAACAAATTATTTCTAAATAAAAAAACATTTCTTTTACACTTTTCATTAGTTTTTCTGTAGTTTTTTCTAATTTTTTTTTTTACCAAATAATATGCTTTAGTGTTTTGATTGGTTTGTTTTGCTCAACACCAGGTGTAGCACTTGCTCGATCAATCCATAGAAAGCAGGCACTTAAAATGCTTTTTACTGGAGACCCAATAACAGCCCAAGGTTGAATTAAAAACTGTAAAATATTTATGTAATTTTTTTTTTAATTTTATTTTCAAAATTAAAAAATATTTTAAAAATTTTTAGTATGTTTCTATTTTTATGTAAATCTAATTTTTATGGTTTTCTATATTTCATTTTTAATGTTATATTAGAGGCTCTTTCATATGGTCTTATAAATGAAATAGTTTCAGAAGAAAAGCTACAGCAAACTGTAAGTATTTTTTTGTTTTTTTAAAATTTTAAATGATTGTTAAAGCAGACAGTTTTATTGTATATTTCTGATGATTACACAGTTACAGCTATAAGTAAATTTGTCGAATAATAAATCTGTAAGTTTATATACTTATAGCAATAATTCCATAACAGCTATAAGTAATTATGTCTAGGAAATTGAAAGAGACTTTCAATTTCTCAGATATATAATATAATAAAAAGCATGTAAGTATATAATATAAAGCATAAAACTATTGTAACAAACAAAAATAATAAATTTAGTTAAATAAAAGGTGATTAAAAAGTTTATCCTATTTTTTTTTGGTTTGGGTAATATTGACTGAGTCTATTATTACTCGTTCAAGATTTTACAGAGCTGTACCACTCTATTTATAATGACCACTCATACCACTATTTTCTGTTTATGGGTTTGTTTGTTTTTTAATTTTTTAATTTTTTTTTTCTAAATTCGCTTCCAACAAGGCTGCAAGCAACCACTATTAAGTCAAGTTACTAAAAAACAATGAATAGAGTTAAAGAGCAAGGAAACGGCTTACAGAAGACAAGAAAAATTGAATGTTGTATGAGTCAGGAAAACATGATGATAGTAAAAAGTTCCGAAACATTAAAGTGCAGGGACTAGATGAATAGATGTTTTTAGAGTGTGAAGGGACAGATACAGTAAAAGAATCTGACCTTGCTGAATGGGCAGTTAGTAGATGAAACTAAATCTGATAGCTCGTTTGAGCAGCGAACATGATAGTGTTTATAAAAAAGAGAAAGAGATGCAACCATAAAACAATGGAAGAGTGGCTCAAGCTTGGCAGATAGAGCAGGTCCAATTATGTTTACAATGCATTTTAAGACTTTGTCTAGAAGAGAAGAAGCCCCTGTAGAAGAACCAGCCCAAGTATGACAGCAATACTCCAGGGACTAGTAAAAGATTTCTAGGAATCAGGAGTAAAATAATAGCGAGCAAGATAAAGACAAATACCTTGCAATGACAAATACTCAACCTTGACAAATACTAACCTTGCAATGACAAATACTTACCTTGACAAATACTAACCTTGCAATGACAAATACTTACCTTGACAAATACTAACCTTGCAATGACAAATACTCAACCTTGACAAATACTAACCTTGCAATGACAAATACTTACCTTGACAAATACTAACCTTGCAATGACAAATACTTACCTTGACAAATACTAACCTTGCAATGACAAATACTCAACCTTGACAAATACTAACCTTGCAATGACAAATACTTACCTTGACAAATACTAACCTTGCAATGACAAATACTTACCTTGACAAATACTAACCTTGCAATGACAAATACTCAACCTTGACAAATACTAACCTTGCAATGACAAATACTTACCTTGACAAATACTAACCTTGCAATGACAAATACTTACCTTGACAAATACTAACCTTGCAATGACAAATACTCAACCTTGACAAATACTAACCTTGCAATGACAAATACTAACCTTGCAATGACAAATACTTACCTTGACAAATACTAACCTTGCAATGACAAATACTCAACCTTGACAAATACTAACATTGCAATGACAAATACTCAACCTTGACAAATACTAACATTGCAATGGGTTTTACAACCTTGGCAGAGTACCACCATTGCATTGGTTTTATATATGTTTTTCATGAGCAAGGATTATCTTTTTCTGGATATTTCCGGAACTCCGGATATTTTTTTCAACTTTTAGTTTTTTCGGATATCAAAAATGTTTGCTATACATACAAGTTTAGGAATATATTTTTGTAATATATTTGCTTTTTAAGCTTTTTCACTCATTACTCATACAAAAATTAAGAAAAGTTACAAAATAAAATTAATACAGCTCAGCTAAAATCAAAATTAAGGGGAATATTAGGGAAAATATATTCCGGATATATCCGGATATTTTACCCTACTGATTTTCCGGATTTTTAAAATATGAGCTGGATGATCTATGCATGAGAGGTTAAAAGTAAATTATTATAAGAAAAGGTAAAGAAGAGGACTCAGTGAGAGGGTTGCCATCAGGGTTGTCACCAAATCAGGGAATTCTGGGAAATTAAAATGTAATTAGGGAAAAAAAAGTTGATAAAAGTCACAAAAAAAGTGAAAAGTCAGGGGGAATCAGGTAATTTTTTACTATTTTATTTTAATGTTATAAATATTTTATAGTAAATAATATTTATTTTTAGTTAACTAATTAAATAATTATACAGCTCAAAAGATTGTTCAAATATATTTGAACATTATAAAAAAATTAACTTTTATTCTGGTCATTTATTAACAGTATAAACCAAATAAAAAGTTTATGTAAAACATTTTATGTAGGTTTGAGTAGAACTATTATTAATAATTTAAATGATTTTATTAGGTGCTTTTTTGTGTATAAATAGCTTCAACATTTAAAGGCTTCTAAAGTTTTTTGTTTTATTTATAAGTAGCTGAAACATGTGCAGACTTTTAAAGTTTATAAAACAATATTGTTTTTTCAATCTCTTTTTTTAGAATAAATAAAACTTTTAAATTTTTAAATGACTGTTTATTTCAATGAAGAATGTTTAAATGATACATTGTTTAAAAAATGGCTGGTAAATGGCACAGATAAAAAGTCAAAACATGCCAAGTTTAATTTAACTTATCAAATATATATCAGAGAGCTGTGACAAATCACATGGTGGGGAAAAAAAATGTTTAGAAAGTCAAAACCAGTATCCTGCTACTTCGAACCTGTGCAGTCTACATCTAAAAATCAAGGAGTTCTTATAGTAGATCAATCTGATAAAACTTGTGCAAAAATCTCTTTTGCATGCAAAAGTACAAAACAATTTTTCATTAAACTTGTGTAATGAGAATGGTCTAATATATCAAAAAACGTTTGCTGATAACACCACTGTTAATTCTTTTAATACTTTGACTCTGAATTTTTAGGCTACCCTCATGCGATAAAATTACTTGAAAGTATGATCATATTGGGCCATGATTAATTGCAAAAATCTGGCAAAAATGTGTGCAGATGGCCTAAACTGGTTGCTTCTTAATAGACTGGTTACTTCTTAATAGACTGGTTATTTCTTGATCTTATTAAAAAGCTGCCTGGACAACTAAAGCTACCTAAACTTCTTAAAATTAAGAGTTGCAACCTCCATGTAATTTATGGTGCTTTTAAAACTGGTTTTCAATCAAGGAAGTTAATTGAAGCTTCATGCAACCTTTTCCATGATTCTCCTGCCAGATGAGCAGATGATTTTATAAATGTCACTGAATTAAAGATAAATTAACTTTCTCTAAGTTGAACTTAATATTGCTAGTTTGTTGCAGAAAATCTTAGTGAGATATCAGACAGATACCCAAATGGTTCCATGCTTCAGAACATAATGTTATAGAATTAAAGGAGAAAAATTGTGATCTCAAGATGTGATCAATATATTCATGAAAGATTGTTGACTTTAGTTATTTAATTTTTTGAAAAAGTTTAAATTGATTTTCTTTTCTTGAAGCAATTAGTTACAACTGTTCAGAGTAAATCCTATCAAAAAAAGTTGGTCTTCTTATACAGATAAAATTTGTAAATGATCAGCTTTTACTTCATCTAATTCTTCTCTGCTTGCATATCTCCTCAAATAAACGTGATCTTGCTTTCACACAATTATCGAAAAATTTCATCTAATCTTTTACCAGCATTAAAAAAATATCACTCTAGAAATTGTTAAGGTGAATTTTGAAACCATCAAAGTTGGTAAAAAATACAAAGCTTTGTCAAAAGTCTTGATAGTTGTTTTAGTTTAGCCTGTTAGGATATGGTCAAGTATTAGTTGAGAGGGTCTTCACTATAAATAGTAATATGCTTAGTGAAAGCATGAAAGTAAAGTCACTTGTCTTTTGTGAAAAAAGACAAGTGATTATTGAAGATCTTATGATATTTAACAAATTGAAGGCTCAACAAGTAAAAATCAACGATGAAAGACTGTTTGCAACGCCTCGTTGAAATATTAATAATATCTAGAGGAAAATAAAAAGTTGCAAACAAAAGGATATAAAAGTAGTGTGATAATGTTGTTGAATTAAGTAGTATGAGGACTTAAGGAGCAGGAAAAATTTTTGAATGAAGTATGATGTATGAAATGCAAATTATTATTGCCTTTCTAGTTGTTTAATATATTTTAAATTTTATTTTTTCAAGCTTTTTAATATTTTGACATTCTTTATGTTTAGTAATAGTTTAGTATTAAAGACCTCAACTGTTTTTTAAAAGGGTACATATAGGGTATCCGTGGTATATATATATATATATATATATATATATATATATATATATATATATATATATATATATATATATATATATATATATATATATATATATACCACGGATACCTGTACTCTGTAGTTAGAAACTTTAAAATGTTTAAAAACATTTTTTTTTTCAAAGTGACCGCAACCAAAAAAACTTTTTGAAAAAAATTTCAAAAAACCCAGCAAATATTTAAGAAATGCCAGCTTTTTAAAGACATGTCGCACAGATAATTAGAATTTAATCCCATTTACACGAGGTTAATAGGATTAAAATGAAATGAACATTTTGAAATTGTTTAATGTATATTTAGTCCAAGTTGCTAGCCTCGCGCATAACTCGTCACAGCCGTCACGTAATTGGTATTGGAAAAGCAACTTTTTATCGTCAAATTAAAGAAAACAGAGATAATGCTTATTGGTAATTATATTTATTATTAGAGTTATATATTGTTTATTAGAGTTATGACTTGGTATGGCAAGTTTCTTGAATAAAAAATAGGTGAGCTTTGGTTAGATAATCTTTTTCTTTTTATTAAAAACATTGCGAAAAAAAAAATTATTATCAAATGTCATTAAAAATAACCGTATCAGGTTTGGTTCATAATATTCTTTGTATAAAATGTTAAGATTATAATTTTTATTTATTTTATTACAAAATTTTATTCCGAGAATTATTCCAAAATATCTTTTTGGAATAATTCTCGGAATAATTATTCCAAAAAGGTATTTTGGAATTATTTATTTGTAAAAGGTTGATTCTTTTTGAGACCTAGGTTGATATATTTTTTGAGAAGAAAATATATCCAGTATATACAGCAAGTATATCACTATACCCAGCGAGTAATCAAGGTCGTTGGTGTTGCCCTTTTTCAAAAAGTTAACCAATTACTTTTTTATTTACTTTCAAACCAAAGTTCACCTATTTTTTATACAGGTAACTGGAGATATTAAAAAGTCTTACCCCTTTTTAACTTTTATTCTCACTTTTAAGACTTTTTGCTAATTAAAATTATTAATACCGTCCATATTTGCATTAATACTGTCAATACTTGCATTAATACCGTCCATATTAGCATAGGGACTATCTAACAAGGTTACTAGTCTTAATTAGATTTTTTTGTGAATTCCTTACTGTTTCTGGAAATAAATTTTTTAGATTCTTTTGCTATTAATTTGTAATAAAATCATATAAAATTTTAAGTACCGCAACGTTTGCATTAAACCAACTATATTTTCTATTATTTAAATTTGTTTGTGACTAGACAATAATTGCCTAGTTACTTTTCAGAATAAAACAGTCTTCGTAAAGATATTATAAAGAAGAAACATAGTTGTTCAGTAGTTTTTATTTAATTTATTAAACCCTTTACCAATTGTTCAGAATTTACCAACATACCTTCGTTAATTTGTTGACAGCAAATTTTTCCAGGATTTTTATCAAAGAAGTTTCATAAAGTTAAAAACTCATCTAAGATAAAATATCATTTATGTACCCCCTCCCCCTCCATTCAAATAACGGCGCACGGGGCATTTGCACTGGTTGTAATGAACGCTACTGAGTTAAGTGTAACTTTTTTTAATTTAGTTTGGCAGAGAAAGTCATGGTCGAAAATCTAGAGCACGTAGACGCACAAGAAGGAATATTGTCATTTTTTCAAAAAAGACCCCCAAAGTGGATTAATTAATTGCAATAAACTTGTTATTTAAAATTCTTTTTTTTTTTGATTTTATTAACGATGATTCAGCTAAAAATATTGATTTCTTAGCTGTTCTATTAAAATTATCTTTTTATATTAATTAAAATTTTATTCTCTATGTCGAAGTTATATATATATATATATATATATATATATATATATATATATATATATATATATATATATATATATATATATATATATATATATATATAATATATATATATATATATATATATATATATATATGTATATATATATGTATATATATATATATATATGTGTATATATATATATATATATATATATATATATATATATATATATATATATATATATATATATATATATATATATATATATATATATATATATATATATATATATATACTAAAACTTAAATAAGTAATAAATAGTAATAAAAGATACCAAAAATTCATATTTGATGCAAGAGTAATCTGGAAACAATGAGATCATACGAAAAATTTTGCGCGTGGAAAATTGTTTATTTATGTTAATTTATTATTTTTATATATTTATCAATGATTTCGAAAAAAGTATTAATACTTTAGGCTTTTTGTGATATTTTTTGCAATATCCTTTTGTAAATTGCGCGAAATCGTACATCTGGTCAATTTAGTGAATTTTTGCCCTTGGCCACCAATATTGACTCCATTCTGTTGGTACCTTGAAATTTTATATTTTGAATAATGAATTTAAAAAAAAAGTTACTTGATCTGGTTAAAATATCGTTTTTTGTTTATAAGATCTTATAAAAAGCAAAAGTCTAAATAAGCCAAGATATTTTTTCCAAGTTTTTTTAAGATTTAATGTTTTATATTTTGGGTGAATGTTAGCTCAATTAGTTTTAGAATAAAAATGATTCTACGCAGTCCAAGAGCTTTCACGTCGCCTGGGAAAGCAGCCCTGATTGGTGCCCCTATTTTTCTGAACTTTGCTATATTTTCATTGAAAAACTTTTCTTTCCCGCCCCCTCCTTCGCCGTTTTTGATTTGCTTGATAAGCATTACGTAGAAAGAAGCACTGTGTAAAAAAAGTTTGCATTATAATGGACAACAAAACTTACTGATCTGCAAACTTTATCAAACAGCTTTGAACAACTAGTTTCTTTTTGATTTTCTTGCGTCTTAGAATTATTTGCTTATTCGGATTTATAGCCTAGGTTTTTTTAAACTCTTTCAACCGTGGTTTTACTTGAGTTGAGTTTTTTAGCGATAGTTCAAGATTTCTCTTGAGTGCTTTTACTTCCAATATTAATTTTTTTGATGTAAGTTCTTTTTTTCGACCGTTTCTAGATTTTTCTTTAATAACATTTTTATAACATAATAAATAGTTCTTAGAGGAATTCCCAGCTGAATTGAAATTTTTCTTGGTTTTGCATAAAAATGTTTTACTCTACGCATTTCTTATTTTAAGCACATTTTGATAAATTGCAAATCTAATTTTTCCAATCAAGTACAAAATCAAATTTTGAGGCATAATGTAATCTTTTGAAATAAAAAAAACTGTTGTATTCTTTAAAAAATAGTAAATAAACCCACGCAAAATTTTTCTGGGGCATGTTTAATTGGTTGTGTGTATTAAATTTAAGGAATGTTGATGTAGCATCAACATTCCTTACATTTAACTATATTGTGTTTTTCAAACCAATATATTTTACGATATTTTTTAACGTCTTGAATATTTACAAAATCCATTAGTTTATTCTACACACCTTTTAGAAAAAGAAATGCAAACAAATACTTGACCTGTTTAGGATTAGTTAGAGGAATAAAAAAATCATCAATATAAAAACAAATTTTCCCAGCAAACATTGTTTTAGTGGATTTGCAGTAGACCTATAAAGGCCTTTTTTAGCGGTTTATTGGAGTTTTGCTCATTGGTTATTTTGTTGACTTTTAGTGGCAACTGCTGTAAATAGCAAGCCGATAATTTTCTGACATGTTTATAGTGGCTAGTAGACACTAGATAATCAGGGTCGAGTCTCGGTTTGTCGTATGGTATCGGTGCAATACCATACAGTATCGGTATCGAGATCATGCGATACTGTTATCGAATGTATTGATTATGTTAGTATCATTTGGTACCTATACCTACATCAGTAGTATCTTTTGTTATCGCAGCTCGGGTCTTCACGAGAGTTGGTATTTTATTTTTATAAAAGATTAGTAATTTTAAATTGTAAGTTTATATAATAACTGAGATGTAGTAGAGAAAGGCCAATTTAAAAAAAAAAATTATAAAAGAATAATTTTAATATACTTTTTATATAATTTTTATACTGCACCAAACAAGTTTTAACAAATAAAGCATCATTTCGGGCACTGACTCCATCCCCTAAGATTGATATCAGATTACAACAACATATAAACTTTACAATATGCTATTTTTAATTTTAGAGGAGCTGTGCTACTGGGATAAGTGGGACAGCCATGAGGTGAAATAAGAAAAGCGAGTCATTTACAACATATTAACAAAAATTATTTATTATAAACTATTAAATTCGTAAACCGCGTAATCCTCATCAAAATATTAAAGAGATTTCCACATAATATTTACACAAAAGTGGTGAAAATAGGAGATCAGTTAATTTACTTTGTCCCACTTAACCTCTCAAAAATCCTACCAATAAAGGTGGGGAACTTATCAAAAAGATGTTTTTTACCACACGCCGGATAACAGAGCGATAATTGCTAAATAGATGGGGAAAAATCTCATTGATTACATTAGATAACGTTGATTAATGACCTATCTTAATTGGAATTTTGGAGATGCCCCACTTCCTCCGCGTCCTACTTCTCCCCAAACTTCCCTATATAAATCACTCATATAGTAATAATAGAAATTTTCAAAGTTATTGAGGTATCACATCACATTATTTTTATCATTTAATCTTTTAAATAGTATTGCAATAACATTTTAATTGATATTGTGTATCATTTCCGTTATTTAATTTCTTATCTGGTATCGTTATTTCAATTTAATTGATTGTGTGGCATTGCTTCCGTATTTTAATTTCTCATTTGGTATTTCTACTTTAAGGTGGTACTTTAATCTACTTTACTTTACTTTTAATTTACTTTGCTACTTTAATCCTTTAAGAGGAAACAAATTTAAAACTTGATTTTATATGGGAACATTTATGTTTTTCTGAAATGATTGATTAAATTATTTCAAAAAATAACAATTTTTTTTTTTTATCCTGCTGCTCAATAATTATGCGCATAAATAAGCAAAATTGATTATTTTTTAACAAGAATATCTTGAGAACCATACATGTTCTACAAACCAAATTTTTTTTAGTTGATTTATATATGTTCAAAAAATGTGCTGAATTAAAAATTATACAATAAACAATATTTAACAACTTTAAAATCATTATATTTTATCAATAAAAAGAAAAAAGTATAAGTACATCTTGCTAAAATTCAAATATTAATACTTTAATATATAAAAAAATTAGTTTTCTTTGGTTCAGCACATCACTAATACATTCAAAAACAATTGCTAAAAACTTTCAAAAAAAAAAAATTCAATGAGCGGTTAAAAAGTTATCTTTGTTAAAAAATTAAAAGATACACAAAAAGTTAAACGCAAGAAAAATGCAATTTAAAAAATACTTAAATAAAAAAATACTAAAAGCACATTAAGTTTTTTACACAATCAAACCTACTAAAAACTACCACTGTTGTATGCAACATCTTCTGCTTCATTATGTTAGTCAATAAAGCCTTTTTTAATGGCCCCTAACTTTTTCCTCCTGTTTTATGTGGTACCTGTACTTTTTTTCTCATTCTGTTTAATGCGTACATAATCTACATTTAGACAACTTTTTGTTGTAAAATATCCAGGCAAAACATTACATTTTTCAAATGCTGGTAGTAAACCCTGAACTCCATTAATAAAGTTAATAATTGTAGAGGCCAAAGCAATCTCATTTACTGTTCTTTCCACATGAACTCTTTTGAGTGCGCGAGTCCAAACTATCTAGCGATTCATTGACATTTTGAGTTTGGCCATGTAAACCATTCGTGAGCAATGCATCACTGCCAAGAACTATTTCTAAATAATTTCTTCTTTGTATGGATTTGCATCACAAACTTGCATATAATTGTTGGAAGAAGTGTGAGAAAGACCCTCTTTTTGATTAATATCGTGCACAATATTGACGAATAACATTCTTGAGCATCTTTCAATTGATTTCAATAAACTTGAAAATAAATTTGAGTTTACAATTGTATTACACTCTTTTTCTATATCATAAAGTTTTCTACATCAAAATAAGTTTTTTTGTTTTTTTCCAGATACCGATTAACTTACATTGTTTGGTGAATGTACAGACAAAACAGTTTGTTGTAAAGCATGTGAATTTTTTAAACAAAATTTTTTTAATTTATGAAACTTTTTTTTTTTTTTCTTTTGCTTTCAGAGACGTATTTGAATTTTTGGCGCCTGGGGCACTGTTCCTTTAAGCGCCCTTTTTTAAGAATAATGTCAACTTTGATATGGGGTGATCATTAAAAAAAAAAACATTTTCTATACCAACATATATAAAGTTATATTAATCACTATAGAAAATTATAATTTTCTATGTGAGTTTTGTTTTGCAAATGTATTTATAATGTCATTAAAGTTCATATCTATGGTAAGTACAGATTCTATAGATAGAATTGCTAACCTATTAAGACGATCACTTGTCATTCGCGACCTCAAATAAAATTTAACCCTCTTTAATGCTGAAAATGATCTCTCGGCTGAACAATTGGACGTTGGGCAGCATAGATATATTCTTAATGCTATATCTACATAAGGAAACAGCTCTTGAAGTTTTTCAGTTCTGATCATTTTATAAACATCTATTATAGTTTTAGGTCTTAAGTTTTCAGTTAAACTTATTAAATAACTTCTGAATTGTATACACTCGTTAGCAAATGAAGACGAAAGATCATTTTTATATACATTTTGAAGTACCTCTGCTTTTTTGTAAACTTCTGATGGCGAAAGTTTTATTATTTGAAATAAAAAGTTAAATTTTTTATTGGCTTCATCATAGCACAATTTTCTTCTTTCTAGTTCAGAATGAAGTTTATCAATTATAGCATAATATGTATTAATTCTTAAAGAGTCTCGAATTTTAAAATTTGTTTCTTCTTCTCTTTTTTCATCTGCAGTTAGTTTTCTTTTTCTTTTGCGTATTTTTTGATATGTTTTGTGTCCTGACTTATTTATTGCTCTCTCTTCATAGATATCAAACATACTCCTTAAATCTAATACATATCGAATTAAAGATTCGTATAAACTTACAACTGTTTCTAAATCAATCTCAACTGACTGCAATTGTTTGCTAGTTTTGTTGAATCTCTCTAGTATATCGCCCCATAATGTGGCCATTATAGCTGTTTCAAGACTATCCAGTTTTAAATATAGCCCGTTAGCTTCTGATCTTGTAATAGATTTTTCTGTTTTATCATCTTTGATAAAAGACAGTGCATTAATTATTTCAATCCAATTTTTGTTTAAACTAATACTTGCATCAGATCTTGCTGACCATCTGGTATCTGATAGTTTTTTAAGAGATACATTTTCTGTTTTAATCAAATTCTTCTGAAGTATTTCCCATCTATAAGTAGAGGCACTGAAAAATTTATAAATATTTTGAAGCAGAATAAAAAATTCAGAAGCATAAATACAACAGTCCACAGCGCACTCACCAACAAGATTTAAAGAGTGTGCCGAGCATGGTACAAATGTTGCTAAAGGATTAACTTTTTTAATGCGAGCTTGAAGTCCTGTGTATCTACCAGACATATTAGACGCATTGTCGTAACTTTGACCACGACAATTATTAATATCTAATCCATGCGATTCTAAAACTAAAAATACAGCATCTGCTAATTCTTTAGATTTATGACCAGAATTAGGTAAAAACCCTAAAAATCTTTCTACCGGACAGCCATTCTTTTAAACATACCGAAAAATGAATGACAGTTGATCTACATGGCTAATGTCAGGAGTAGAATCAATACTGATGGAAAAGTATTTAGCTTCCTTTATTTCTTTCACCATTTGTTGAATAACATTATCTGCCATTATACTTATGAACTGCTCATATATATTAAATGATAGGTATGATGTTGAACCTTTTCCTTTATTTCCAAACTTCTCAATGTGTTGTGCTAAAAAAGGATCAAACTGAGCAATAAGCTCTAAGCTCATCATAAAGTTCCCATTATGAACAGATCCAAAACGGTCATCATCAACTCTAAAAGACATTCCACGAGAAGAAAGGGATTTCACAACAGCTACAACTCTTGTCAATACATTTTTCCAATAATTTATTTCTGTTTCTACTTGATACTTTAGCTTTTGATCAACTCGATTTAATACTTCTTTTCTTTCTTTCATATTCATTACACACAATTTGTGGTGTTGTGAATTTTCATGACGCTTGATTTTTTCTTCTCCTTTTTTCCAATCTGAAAAACCAACTGTGGCAAACGATGTAGTGCCACCAAATATATAGCAGGGAGCACAAAATATTGATCCTTTACTTTCTGAGTAAATCAAAAATGTTCGGTTAATTTTTTCACCATTAACAAGAGTAGATATAAATATACTTTTTGACATATATCGAAAACGAGTACATCTTACCCCACCAATTATTTGAGTGTAAATTCTTTTTGACTTTTGGAAATTATTGTTCTCTAAATTTCGGTTAAATCCATTGATTGATAAATAATCTATCGTTTCTTGATTTTTTATCCAATTGGCAGGATCATTTCTAAAGGGAAAATATATTTGTTTAATATACAAAAACCAAAAAATATTATTCAAAGTTTATAACAAATTGTATAAAAAAAACATTCAAGCATTAGGTAATAGAGATAAATGCATAATATAATATAACTAGAGGATATAGGTATCGTTTAAAATGTACAGAGTGTACTATATTCGTTAATAATTTAATTTCCAGCATAATTTTACATGACAAGCGACTTAAAAAAATAGTCTACCTTTGTACATGTTTATAATTGTAACCTACCATGAAAAAAATTAAAAAAAGCTTACTCAGGAACAATACTTTGTTTAGAAAGACTGTTATGTTCAACCATTGGCAAACGTGGTGTATCATTTATTTCTTCCGATTCTGTAGACAATAGAGTTTTACTCGTTTCTGTGCTGCTGTTATTTAGTAATATAAGATTGTCTGGATTTGTTAAATTATCTTTATTAACAGTGAATCTGTGATCATTTTGGTTTCTATAGAGAAAAATATAATAAATTTTGTATAACATGCATGTACCAAAAGATATTATTTATAAATTATATCAAATTTTAAATAAAGATTTTACAATAAACATTCGGGCTTGTTATGTTCATGCATGGACAAACAGGGTGTTTCATTTAGTTCTTTGGATTCTGGAGTCAATAGAGTTTTACTAGTTTCAGTACAGCTCTTACTTGATAATATTAATATTAAATCGTCTGGATTTGATAGGTTATTCTCATTAACAATAAAGCTGTGATCATTTTCATCGCTTGTATTATTTACATTTTCAACTGAAAGCATAAATAACGATTACTACACATATCTACGTTTTAGATATAAATTATTTACATTTAATAATAAATAACATAACAATATGAAGTATAAACAATAAATAACAGAACAATATGTACCTATATGTATATATATTTGCTAGAAAGCAAAATTAATAAAACGTATGGTTTTCTAGCTAAATAAACTTACCCGGCGATGTGTGAAGCTGTTTATCTGTAAAGCTAAAATATGTTTCTAACTTAGCAGTCTTTAAAAGTATTTTTGCTTGAGCTTCATTTTTTGCATGGGTTCGTTTTCGGTTTTCTGCGCCACTAAGCTTTTTACTATGAATCATCATTGCTTTTTAAAATAAGAATCCTAAAAAGTGTGTATTATATATATATTGTTATCATGTATATATGATAACAATAATGTTAATACTAAAACTAAAAACAATAATCGAAATACGAATATTTACCTTTTTCAAGCCTGTATACTGTAATACAAGGGATTAAGCAGACAACATACCGAAGAACAAAATACTTAGGCCAACAATAAAAAAAACTGACAGCAATCTTAAAAATTCAAAATTATATTGTGCACACGTGGTATATACAAGATGGTTAGCAAAAAAGGCGATCAAAGTCAAATTGCTAATTTAATAATTAATGCGTAATTTATTCTGCTTATCACTTCAAATTATATAAAAATAAATTAAAAAACAAACTGATTATTTAAAGTTTAAAGTATTTTTAAAGAGTTTTTTTTTTTTAGAAAATGTAAAGAGAATCTTTGAAGAATTATTTCATTTTTTAAAAGTAAATAGCTGTGTCTATACCTAAGTATTTCTGTTAATAAAGTCAATTAAGAGTAAAATGAAAATGTTAGGTAAAACGCACCATTTATTTTTTTCTAGTATATTATTTACTAATTAATAAATAAGGATCAAGTATTTTATTAATAAAAATTATAAATCATTTATTCAAAAAAAAATATAAATTTTAATTATATCAAGATTAGATAGTATATTAAATAAGAACACTCGTAGGAGTAGACCTTGGAGCGCCAGCGTCAGAGTGATGAGCTTAACCGTTAAGCTATCGCTACATACCGTATCATTAAAATATTTATAATAAATAAATAATTTGTTTAGACACGTGACTTTCAGTATCAAATCAACGTTTTTAGATGAATAATTGGCGCATAATTATGTATAATTTGCAAGTTTAATTTGATCTCCTTTTGATTGATATTTTCTTCTGCTAACTAAATTTTTCTAAAATCAACTAGAGATATTTAGTAAGTCGATAAGTAGGTCTATGATTTGAACATAATAATAATATAAAAATTTTCGTGAAATGATATAAATAGACTATTTTACAATTTTCTAAAGTTCTAACATTCTGAAAGCTGGCGCCCTGTCAAAACATGGCGGCCGGGGGCTAAAGCCCCCCTGGCCCCCCCGTAAATACGTCTCTGGTTGCTTTAGCATATCTATTTTTTTAGCCTGTTTTTTTGGGTATAGTACAAGTAAAATTGCCTTTTAGAGGTTTAGTTAAAAAATGTTTAATTAATGATGTTATAAGAGAAATAATAAATAATGATTTGTTTACTTTAGTTGTTAAATGTTGAACATAGAACAAAAGACTATACCAGAAGAGAATTACGATACTACCTTAATTGAATCTTGCGTGGTATCGTAATTATCTTCTGGTATAGTCTTTTATTCTGTATTCAACATTTAACAACTATAGTAAACGAATCATTATTTATTATGTCTCTTATAACATCATTAACTAAACATTTTTAACTAAACCTCTAAAAAGCAATCTTACTTGTACTTTTTTGATAATAAGTTCAAAAGGTCAAATTTTTCATTTTTTTTTGTTCTAATTGTGACTATGCGACCATTCGATAACATACCATACCTTTTGTTATAAATATCGTTTGGTATCGAACTGATACTGATGGTAATGACAATAGTATATAAAACTACCCCAAAGGTGGCGTTGAACCATGGATCTCTAGTTTCTGAGGCAAGTGCGCTAACCACTGCGCTATGGCTGCTCGTTATACTATATGTCCACATGCGAACCATACGAAACCAAGAAAACTTTTGTTAAATGTTTAGGTTGTATTTTATTAATGAATTTTGATATTATAATGAATAAAAATTCTGTTTTTTGCTTTTTAGATTGATTTGCTAAAAAGTGCAGCAAGATGGATATTTTACAAACATTGTGTCCTTTCTTACCAGGGCAGTGTAAAGTCTAACAAATTATCTTCATAAATACGCATAAATCAAAAATAGTTTAATGATGAATAGGTTAAGGTGTGGCGGAATATTGTCGCAAAATTTTGATTGTCGCAAATTTTGATTGTTGCAAACTTGATTGTCAAAAATGTAAAAAAGGAATAGTGTCGCAAACTGTCGCATTATTGATTGTCGAAAACAAAAAAAAGGAACAGTGTTGCAAATCAATTTAATAATAGTGTCGAAAATAGAAAAAAATAAATAATGTCCTAAAGGAGTTTAATGAATGGAAACAAAAATATAAAAATATAATAACTAAAATATGTTTTTAGATAACATGCCTGATGTCATACTGAAATTGCCTGCTGCCGGGGGTTTCAATACATACATCAACTACCTTATAGCCTGCTGCCGCAAGGTAGTGCCACTTTATCAACTGAGGGTTTGGGGTTTGCTTGCAATCTTTTTTTTCATTATTCTTTGTTTTTTTCTTCTTTTTTTTTCTGTAAAAAGTTGTATGCTATAAAGATAAGCAAAACAAGCATGCATTACTGAAATTAACTATTTGCGACGCTATTCCTTTTTTTGTTTTGTTTTCGACACTATTCATTAAATTCATTTGCGAAACTATTCCTTTTTTTTTTGCGGCATCAGGCCTTTTTAATATATTCGACGCTATTCTGAAGTTTATTCTTCGACATCAGTCACCCAAGACAATCTCTAAATAACAAATACATTGCGAAGAACCTAAACTTTAAACTGTAAAATGCTAAGGCACAAAAATTAATTTATTAAAATCACACCAATTTATTAAAATCACACCAATTTATTAAAATCACACAATTTATTAAAATCACACCAAGGTAGAGCTAGAAAAAATATGTAAAAATTTTTAAAAAATCGTTTTTTTTTTTATTTTTTATTTTCGAAGGAAAATTACTTAGCTTTCATGTATTGAAAAAATTTAAAAAAAAAAAAAATTTCTTATTTAGTTTTTAAAGCTTTTATGTAACTACATACAACGACTAGTCCTTAGTTACGCCCTTAGCAACGGTAAACAGTTTTTTTACCTTGATACTTTCCATAAAGAACAACAAGATTTATATCATACACTGATAAACGTGCAATTGTTAAAGGTCATTAACTTAAGGAACATTGTAAATTTTGGCAGTTTTTTGAAGCAACTTTAGTGCATGCTGTTTAATTTTGATGTTATAAACCTTTTAAGATATCACCTCAAGTATTATAAATAATGAGGACTTCAAGAAATAACATTAAAGTATCTAATAAGCAAAACTTTGGACGAAAAAAAAAAAAGATTTTTTTATGGAAATCGTTATACAATTGCAGCAGAAAGACAACAGAAAAGCAATCTGAATATTGTTCCAGCTTCAAGTTGTGCAAGTGCAAGAAAATTACTGCCACTGATAAATAGAAATCAAGTTGTAAATGAAAAAGTGAATAAAGATTATTTCATACTTATCAATTTTTCAATTTTAAGTGATATCGTGGAAGATGTTAGATGCCCAGATTGTTACAGCCTTGTTACCATTGTTGATAATCTTTCTAAGCGCATGGGTTTTGCCCATCACCTTGAAATCAAATGTAGTTTATGTGAATGGAAAAAGGTTTTGTATTCTTCTAAGCAGATTAGTAAATTTAATGGAAATACAGCCCAGGGTAGGAAAACATTTGAAGCAAACACAAGAATGATAATTGAATTTAGAGAAATAGGTAAAGGGTATCAATCTATGAAAAACTTTAGTTTTTCATAGATTGATACCCTCTCATAGATTTTTTTTTTATGAATTTACACTGTTTGACAGCTACTCCATTTAGAAAACTAAATATAGAAATATCAAAAGCTTATGATAAAACTGCTAAAGAAAGTATGAAACGTGCCACAAATGAAATGAAAGATAACTATACTGATGATAATAAACCAATAATGAAGCATGTTAAGGATGATGGTACATGGCAACGACGCGGCCATACCTCCCTTAATGGATTTGTAAGTGCAATTATGGGTGATAAGTTCGTTGATTATGAAGCAATGTCAAAATTTTGCATGGGCTGTAGAATATGGAAAAATAAAAAAGCTTCACCACGATACAATGCTTGGAAAGCTCAACATGCCTGTCATATAAATCATAAACAATCTTCTGGGTCAATGGAAGCAGCTGGTGCTGTAAAAATATTTGCACGTTCAATTAAAAATAACAATATTATTTATACTCATTATCTTGGAGATGGAGATAGCTCATCTTTTAAAGAAGTAATAAAGTCTGATCCCTATAAAGACTATAAAATAATTCCTGAAAAGTTAGAGTGTGTTGCACATGTACAAAAAAGAATGGGTACACGGTTACGAAATTTAATCAAAAATTACAAAGGAAAGCCAACTCCACTAGGTGGAAAAAATAAACTCACAGAAAATGTGATTAATAGTATGCAAAATTTTTATGGTTTAGCTATAAGAAGTAATACAAATAACATTTATGCCATGAAAAAGGCAATATGGGCTATTTTGTTCCAATGTACTGGATATTCAAATCAAGAGTTTCGCCACTGCTTTTGCCCAAGAACTGAAACTAGTTGGTGTCAATATCAATATGACAAATTACATAGTACTTCAAATTATAAATAACATATTAATTTACCATTATGGATTAGTAACCTTTTGAAACCAGTGTTTAAAGATCTATCAAATGAAGAATTATTGTTAAAATGTGTACATGGGCAAACCCAAAATACAAATGAAAGTCTTAATGCATTGGTTTGGTCTCGTTGCCCTAAAAACATATTTGTTTGTAAACAAACTTTTGAAATGAGTATTAATTCAGCAATTTTACACTGCAATGATGGTACTGAAGGTGTTAAAATGTTTTACTTTCATTTGGACTATCAGGCGTTGTTACAAATTCTAAATCTTATGAACAAAATGTTTCACGTGTAAAGAGCATGGAGATCAAGTCAAGTGAAAAAGTAAAAAATAGAAGAAAAAGTCTCAGAGCAATAAAAAAAAGATACTCTGATAAACAAAAGTCAAAATAAAACATCATTTTATGTATCAGGAGGGTTTTGAACATATTGTATATATATTTTTAAACATATTACAACTTTATTTTGCGTTTTATTGAACTTTG